TGACAACTTTGCAATGTTTTATTTTAAAGATAACAAAGTGGTTTATATTTAGAAAAGTTGTATGGAGAAGTATTTAATGGCACAAAAAGACAGTTTATTGAAACTCAAAACACAGTTTACTGAAAAGCATACGAAATTATTTATCATATGGAGTCAGGGGTAGTGGCACACTCCTATAATCCCAGCACTCTGGAGGCTGAGGCAGGAGGATCATTACAAATTTGAGACCAACCTGGGCTACAAAGTGAGCCCAACACCAGCTTGAACTGCATACAAGACCCTCTCTCAAAAAGCCAAAAAAATTTATTTACATTATGAATATATATATATTCATGTGCATATATATATTTGCATATAGATGACTACAGAGATACACACCAGAATATTAGCCATGGTTATAGTTGGAGGTGACAGGGTTTTATATCTATAGGTGGTTTTAATTTTCTTTCAAAGATTAATAGAAAATTGAACTGAATTTTAAATGCAAATTTTTAAAAAGGTTAAAGAAGCTGAAGATGACAAGTGTAGAAGCTGAACAAATATGATTTTAAAACTCATTATAAAGCACTTGTATTCATCAGGTCAAGTCATGTCCAGTGTGCACCTAGGGAATGGAGAGTCTCTCATTAGCACATAAAAGGCCTGTATGTTAATGTTCAACTCAGTTTTGTCATCTTCTTCCACACTAAAAGCAAAGTTGGAAGAGACCTACAATGTGGATTAAAGACAGAAATAGGTGTCAGTAGCTCAGGGCTCAAATCTTTTCTGTACTATAGTAATTACCTTTCTTTGAGCAAATTGTAATTTTTCATTATCCTAGCTTACTGATTTAGAAAACGAGCAGTGAAAAATACTGACTTCTTCACAGGGCTACTATGCAAAATCAGAGATGTTAAAGACATTGAAAACACTCAGCCAAATGGTGTGGGCCACATTTAAGTATTTGACTGGCCCTGTATCCCACGTTAAGAACAGGGATTAATTCATTTATCCAATTTCACATTCTACATCCCTGCTGCCAGTGGGTGTGGGGCTAAGCAGGGGATACGTAGCTGTTGTAGTTCTTTCTGTCTGCTTTCATCCATTTCTCCACTTTCTCTGTTTTTCCTGGCATGCAGTCTCTGTGATGGTAGCAGAATTCTTTGTCTTTGGCTGACCAAGAGGCCAGCGGCGACCAAAGCCCGGCTAACTAGAGCCTCGTCCCCAAGGATGTGGAATGAGCAGAGGGCCTAGGAGCCTGCAGTGAATCTGCCTCAACAGCTAGCTCTTTGGTTCCTGCCCACTAGGCCTCCTCCTAAGGCCTGGGATCTCCATGGACTCCTCCATTTCTCGGAGTTGTCCCATTGTCTTATGACGAATCCCTTTATGCCTTAGGCTAGTCACAGTCGATTAATGTTACTCATGGCCAGAAAACCACAGCCCATATAAGGAACCTGAATACAGGTAATATACGGGGCCCATACACCAACTCCCTGAGTGGCAGAGGGCTGAGCCTTGAGCTTCTATGGTATGACATAGAAGCACTTAAGCACGTACAACCATGGGGATAGAGGTCTTTTGCTTGCAGGCAGCAGGACGAGTTCCTGGCCCTCTGCAATATCCTCCCTCGCAGTAACACAATAGCAACTCATGGCTGATGCTTCGGATCCCAATACCTAAGGACTAGATTTGAGCCATCAAATGTGGTGGCCATTACTGATGTGACTTTTAAATTTAAACTGATGAATCACATTAAAAAAATGAAAACTTTAATTCCTCTCAGTACCAATTTTAAGACAGTGGCTACTGATCCACTACCATAGATAGGAAACATTGCCCTTCCTGCCCCAGATTCTATTTGGCAGTGCTGGCTAGGTTATGCCACAGACTCAGAGTCTCTTCTCCACCCTCCCCCACCCTCCCTGCTGGACTGACCTACAGATAGAACCCTTCATGGGACTGCTGTGCGACCCTGTGTTCTCCAGGTGAATATGCAAAATAAGCCCCCTAAGAGTTCTACACTTTGGAGAAACTGTTAAAACTGAAAATGTACATAATTTTAGGAATGCATGCAGAAAATCACTGAGGATTTTTAGGATGAATAGAAGTTATACAAGATACTTTATTTAGTTTCAACAAATTAGGCCTACTCTGCTTCAGCCACCTGAAGCACAGAGAAGCATGCATCATGCAAAATGTCAAGAAATGTTCTTAAACTCTAATTAAAGGGTTTAGAGTCATTACAAAGTTAAATAAGCATTTAAATAGGTAAGCTGTAAAGAAACAAAAAAACTGACAAACTTTGGGCCTGGAATCCTAAGGCCTGGATGACTCTGCCACTTATCTCAGGCAGGCCAGGCCATTTTGGGGAGGAGGATTTTCAGGGTCCACATTTGTGAAATAAAGCTAATTCTAACCCCACAGAATCCTGAAAGGATACAGCAGTAAGGCACAGGTTAATGCTCTCTGCAGCTCGACAGAGAGCTGATTCAAAATAGAATAAAAAAATAGAATTAAGGTCTAATAGAATCTAAAAATAGAATCTAAGGTGAGAAGGGGTAGTCTGAGGGTACCAGGTGGTAGAGCCAATGTCCAGCTGTCCTAGATCGCCCCAGTCTCCTGAGAAAGGGATTAGGACTGGAAATCTTAGCTCTTCTGTGATCAAGTCTATTGTTCATTTTCTTGTCTTCTCCTCTTCCCCACCCACGCCACTATCCCCACTCCTTTCCAGGTGGGTAAAAGGATTTTGGCCCAGACAGGACACTGTAGCTAGTAAAGCCTCAGGCAGAACCAAAGAGCTCCATCTCCCCCACCCCTAGGAATTTACCTATGGCACCAAAAGAATACCAATTGGCTACCTGTGCATCCCTAATGCCCCTCAGGCTCCACCCCAAACCTAAGCTACATGTATGCCTCCACTCCACGTGTTCCACGGAGAGATCGCGGACCCTGGGGCGAGATGCCGCACCCCAGGGGATGGGGTCTCTCCCCGCATTCTTAAAATAAAGGTCATTTATATTTCATACTTCTTATCTTTTCAGCTGCCAGCCCCACAATTCTATCAGTGGGCATGGCACAGGCTATTTTAAAAACAGAAGTTAGTGATCTGAATGTCCTCTGTCAGTTTTTCAAGGAGAGTTAATGAGATCAGAACCTGTGCAAAATCACCAGGTTAGTGTTTGGGCTTTGAGTCGTAAGGATGATGGGACTTGGCTATTATGTCACTTGATTGTCACTTTCCCTTGGATTGGTTGGTCCTAGGCTTACCCACACACTAACCACCGAGAAAAAGGAAGTATGAACTCAGTGGTGGTTTTCATTTTTCCTTCCAACAAGTCTTCAAGGTCTCGTAATGATCACCATGTATGGAGTTAAGAGAGCACAGGGAGAGCCTGAATGTGTTAATTTTACTTGAGAAACAATAAAGATGAGCCAGAAAGAATATATAATATATGTAAGTCTCATTAAGCTGTCATTACTTGGAAAGATAGTTTCCAGGCAAATAAACACCCAAATCTCCTGCTTGCAGCTTTCTGTGAGTAATACATTCATCTCAAATCTCCCATCCTCATACATTCTGTGCCTTCAAGGAGAATTATGGGTGAGCAAGAAAATGAGAATCAGGTAGGGCAATTATAATTCTGAAAAAGGAAAAACACACCAACATCTATAGGATCGCTCAAAAAAGAAAAATAGGGACATTCTCCTTCAATATATTTAGCTGTTCAAAAAGGCCAAAGTATTTTATCTAAATTTTAGAAGTAAAACAGAATTTTAAAATATACTTTCACGTAGTCCCCAAAGATGAGGGTGAAACTCATCTATAATATTCAGTTCTTTTGTTCAACTTACGTTTTTTTGTATGCGTGGTACCAGGGATCAAACTCGCAACCTTGCACTTGCCAGACAGGTACTTACAGCGCTGAGCTAAACCCCCAGCCCTCAACTTAACATTTTCTCAATGCTCTCTCGGTGCCATACACTGTCCATCAATTGGTCAACTCCAAACACTATTGAAAAGCTGCCTCCAAACAAACTCGATCTAGAGGACCTGTCAGAACTCTAAGTTTTGTATCGATAAATCAATGGGATGATAATAAAAAGTATCAATCAAGAAACAAATGTTGGTATCTGGAGGCGAAGATGTGCTAGACTAGGATGAATGTGAAAGCTCCCTCCGAATGGTAACCTGTGTTTCTCTCACCAGGACAGCAACCTCGTTAACATCTAGCTTCGGGAGGAAGGACACCACAGTCCATCTTCCAGGTAGCTGTCAGAGGCATGGAGTGTTCCTTCAGGGTCAGGAAGCTGTCCCTAACAATACTCCTCAGCCCATTCTAGTTGTCCTGCTAGGCATGCATAGTTCTAGCCAGTGTCACCTTTCCACGTGTGATGGTTTGCAGAGGGTTTGTCTCTTCAGAAGCTCCTGTGCATATGTGGATTCCTAACAGAAAGGTGTTGAGAGGTGGTAGACACTGGAAGAGGTTATTATGTCACGGAGCATCACCCTCATGAATGGATTAACGTTGTTCTCTGTGGGGCTGGGTTAGTTCTCATGAGAGTCAGTCAGTTCTTGTTTTCTCAGGATTGGGTTGGTTTCTGTTAAGAACCAGAATTACTAGGAGACTTCTGACCTTCTATCGTGTAATGACACGGGTCAGGGCTCTGGCAGATGTGGGCTGCCCAGTCTTGGACTTCGAGCCTCCAGAACCATCAGCTAAATAAGCTTCTTTTCTTTATAAACCTCCATCTCAGGTATTCTGTTATAGCAACAGAAATTGAGGTAAGCTGGTTCCTATTTCTTCCCACAGGTATTAGGTTGGAAATCCTTAAACATGGCAAAGTTGACCCCTGCCGAGAGAGCTAGAGCCTGCACAGGGGAAAATGGTGGTATTTTGGAAACTGAAGACAGCGGAAAACCCAACTCTGCCCAGGCCAGGAGCAACCTGCAGAGGGTACAGTGAGGCACGCACTGGCTGTACTCATGGAGGAAGCAGTGACTTACCATAATCAAAGGATATTGGGCCACCAGGGCAGGGCACAGCTGGGTATTTGGCATAAAAACACAGTGCATCATAATGAAGTCATTTAAAATAGAATCTGGAGGGAGGAAAAAGTAGAAAAAGAAATCAGGCTTTTGTGGAAATCTTTAGGAAAGGAAAAGGATTCATTCGTTCTTGGCCACTGATTCTCATACCCACGATTTTGCTGAACACAGAAGCACTTCATATGAAAATAACGATGTTGACAGAGCTCGAGATCAAAAGTCAAATTCTTAGGATGCTGGGCAAAAAAGTATACTATTTTAAAAAGAGCCTTCAACCACAAAGAATTTGTGTGTGTGTGGTGCTGGGATTGAATTCAGGGCCACATGCATGCTAGCCAATCAATCAACTACCAAGTTATATCTCTAGACTCAATCAAAAATATACATAATTAAAGGGTCATGTGTACAAGGGAGGTACAATATCCACAGAATTAATAGCTAGTCATTTCCTTTGTCTACTTTACATGATTGCTTTAAAAATGTCTTTTTTTTCCCTTTCCTATTTCCAGAAAAAATAATGAGACATAAGAAAGTGACAGGGTCATAGACAAAGGAGGTAGGAAAAGCAGAGAAAATCGATGATTGGAGAGAAGCAGCAAAAACAGACGCCATAGAGCAGCACTGGATGAGAGTAAGAGCCATCCAATGGGTGAAAGTGGTGCCTGGACCACATTTGAGGGATGACAAGAGGAAAAGGCACTTGTTTCCCAAAGATAAGCTTTGTCTCATCTCGAATTTGATTGCAGGTTTTTTTTTTTTTTTTTTTTAATTGCAAACAGCATACCACCCAGGTAGAATAGCAACATACATGGACAACAAATCTAAAAGTCCCACATGTATGCTTCCTGGAAGCTAGAACTCAAGATGCCATGGGGATTTTCATTAAAAAAAAAATGATTAGACTGGTAAAGGTATGAAACTTTTCAAGAAGAAAATGGTGAAAATAAGTAAATTTAACTTTATAAATTAGATTTTTTAATGTCCACGTTTTTCCTGTACTTCTGCCAAAGTCTGAAACAGTGACTGAAGGTTTAACCGTCATACTCATTCAAACATACTGTAATGTCAGGCTGTCATCGCTCAGTGCCTGGTCATTACAGGTCTAGCCCACTGAACCACACAAAAGCAGAGAAGGTGCCAGACAAAAGATGCATGGAGCTTTCTTTTAAATTACAAAAGGATGTTGCTTGTCTGAGTTTAATGTCTAGAGTCACCTTTTCTCCGAAGATAGGAGAGGTAATGCTTGCTCATCTGCCACCCAGAAGGCCCATGCTCTGCATCGTTCTAAGATGATTTATCTTTGTGGTGCTAGGGATGGAACTCAGGACCCCATGCATGCTAACTATGTATTCCACGGCTGAGCTATATGCCCAGCCCTGTAATAGTTTAAATTCTGTGAACTCAGAGATGTGTTTCAAGGCAGGATAGCTGGTCACTCGACATAGCCAGCCACTCAGCATTGACATTTCCATGTGTTTTCTTGTTCTCTCCAACACTCAAAAATGATCCTAGTCTCAATGACTAATGTTGGTCACAGAGACTGAAAGTCTAGGAAGCTAATAGGCCTTAGGTAGAAGAATTTATATTTTGGTAAATTAAGGAAGTGCACTATGATATCCAAAAGCTGAAAGCCTAGGAAATTATGATGTAAACAATTTTGCCCATAACTCTGACATTTCTTACTGTATTGCAGACCACTAAATGTCAAAGGTCTTCAATTCCATTATATGCATGTTTTAGGTACGGTACAAATATTAGAATTATTTTCTTTTGTTCAGGATAGTAGTGGTGATATTAGTATCTTGATTTATGAATAAAGGTGCTGATTCATTCCTTACTTCCATTCATGAACATTATTTACAAGAAAAAATCAGAAAACTGTAGGGAATGGAGTTTGATACTAAATTATGATGTTAGCCTCACCTCTAGACTCGAGAATGGAAAGATCATCCTACATACCAGCCACAGAACACACTAACTTCTGGGCTCCAATTCTTTTGAGAAGAAATCAATTATATTTCCTTTTTGAGGGTATAAAGATCTTAAATGTCTTTTCTTAGATGATGTAGTCTCTTAATGTACCAAAAATCTTACTTTTGGGACAATGTTCATTTAGAGAAAGCTCAGGTTTTTTTGCACTATGCAATCACATATCCTGGAAAACAATTAAACACAAAGGGGAAGATCAACTGCGTTTTTCCTGACCTACAGACCTGGAAATCCGGCTTATCCAAGGTTATGTGTGCCTGTGGGAAGCAATCCCTGTCTAACTGGTCCCTCAATGGTTTTTCTATCCTAAACACAGAGTAACCTTTCCTCAACAAAGCTCTTAACACATCCTTCCTGTTCAGACATCTTCAACCACTCCCCAGTGCCTTACTGTGTATTTAAGACCCTCTAAGATTTGTACCCCAAATTCTTAGACATTACCTTCCTTCTTTCACTTGGGTACATGAGAGTACCACAAGTATCAACCTGCCAGCTATTCCTTGCTTGTTTCTATGTTAGCGCTAATAATGTCCTTTAGTATGGATGGTTCTGTCCCATCTAGTTACTACTCACCAGCTTTCCTTCAGGGCTACTTAAAGACTATATTCTCTATGACACTTTCCCAGGTCCCCTTAACCAGTCTGTATCCTGGAAGCACTGATCACTTTCTGTTTTCTATTAATTATTTGTATATTTCCTCCTGGCCTCTAGAAGATTATAAGTTTCCTGAACAAAAGAGAGTGATTCTTGTTCACCCTGCCTAACCCATGGCATCCAACTTAGTGAGCTGAAAATAATGTGCCCAAAAGCCAGTGGCTTAAAGGAGGAGAGGTTTATTTTCAGTCCATAGTTGGCTGGTTCCAAGACCGGAAGGGCATGGTGGAAGGGCCTGGAGGAGGAAAGCTGCTCATATCATGGCAGCCAGGAAGCAGAGATCCAAAGGAGCCAGGGAGGGAGATATACCCTGCCCCAGTGACCCACTTCCTCCAGCCAGGCTCTACCTTCCAAGAGCACAGAGCACAGAGTACACTCTGCTGCTGAACTCACCAGGGAATGATTCTACTGATGAGTACAGCGCCCCCATGATCCAGTCATCTTCCTCAAGCGTTGCCAGTGAGCACGTTAGACTTTTAGGGGACATTTCCTGATCTAAATCAAAACCCTAACAGCTAGATCTCCCTTTCCAATTCATTTGCTCCTTAAAAAGATCCCTCTGATAACCAATAAGTAAGAAATTAGAAAGGAAGAGAAATGTAGAACAGATCCTTTATCAGAGATCTCAGAAGAAAATCAACCCTATCACATTCACCTTGGACTTCCGGTCCCCAGAACTCTGGAAAAAGCAAACATCATTTGAGCTACGCAGCTTATGGAAGTCTGTTATAGCTGCTGTGGCAAACCAATATAGGTAGTGTTTAGTTACACTCTGTACCAAGAGTCTACACTGCAAAGAGAACCATTTTATTCTCACTTGGAGCAAGGCTTATCTGTACGCTTTATATAGGCAATTTCAAATGCCCTATGGGAAGAGGTACAGTTTACATGAACCTAACCAATGCCATTATAAGGTGGAACAGAAGGATAATGTAGGAGATGCCTATGGAATGCCACTTCTGATACATATGAATGAAATCGAGATATCTGAGAGGACGGGGAAGGCAGAAGCACTGTTCCCTGTCTATACATCACAGGATGTTCTTCAATGCCAGCACAAAACCCACTTCTTTTTTTTTTAATTGGTACCGGGGATCGAACTTATGACCACACGCTGGCAAGGCACGCGCTTATGCCACTGAGCTAAATCCCCAGCCCCACAAAACGCACTTCTAAAACTGCCTTGGCAATACACATTGAGAATGACGTCAGCATTTTTTCCCGTGCTATATATGTATATAATGGGCATATAAAATTGTACAGTGTGCATACCTGTTGCTTCATTTAAAGCTGGTTCAAGGCGTATTGTTTCTAGAAAATGTTCTAAAATTTTTTCAGGTGTTCCTGACATCACAGTATACCTGGATAAGAAATAAAAATGTCATTAGTTTTTCAAAAAGGGCAATCATCAATAAAACTTTTTAAAACTTATGTAAGTTTTTTTGTTATTTAATTTGAGATCCCAGGGAGCTATACAGGTTACACACTTACAGACAATATACCCTTTGTGGTAGGAAAGCCCATATACTTTGTCCAACGCACACAGTAGGATAACCACTATTAAAGTAGTTACTAAAAACATTGTTCTTTTTACCCTACATGGAACTAAAGTAAACTCTTGGAGAGGAGCACCAGCAGTCTGGAAACTAAGAAACCTCAGCTTTGTTCCAAAGGGGGATGAAAAGGAACATATAAATTCCAGGGCAGTGCAGGCTGATGAAGGGAAATGACAGTGAACTGGGTTATCCATATATGGGTTACTCATAGCAAAATTTGTCTCACACTGGATTCCCCTGCCTATTTCTGGAATGCTCTGTCTTTCCCAACTGTATACTGGTATGTGCCTTGGAAATACAGCTAATAATAAAACAAGAGAAAAGAAAACAAAATCCCAAACATCAGTAAGGAAACAAACCAACTCCAAGGGTATCGTAAATAGAAAATGTATATAGTTTATGTTAATGTCAAATGCAAAATATTGAGAGGTACATTAGCCATTATTTCAAGAGATCCATTCAGAGCACTCTCCAATCATCGTGGGAAAATTTATGTCTTAAACTGAATGTGGGTTATTTCAAAGTCATGGTCAAGACAGTGACAAACAGCACATGAGAGCTACAGGCAAAGTAAATTGAATTGATCTTGGCATTTCTCTTCCAAAACTCAAGACTTTGTTTTTCTGTCTGGCATTTCAATGAAGGCAAAATGACAGGGAAAAAACGTAACGATGAAAGAACATTCTGGTCTGTTCAGAAAGCAGTGGCAGAATTCAGCTCTGGGAGATTGCAGCGTTCCTTGTCTGTTTGAGACATTGCAGGCAGAGTGTGGAGGTCCGGGAGTATCTAAGATACATGAAATCTCAGGGTCATAACGTCCCACCTTCGGGGTTCTAGAAGAGCTAGACCCAGACAACAAGGTGGGCGCTAAATGATGTCATCCTCCTTAGCCCTGCTGGTTAAATATCCTCTCCGTCCTGCAGATGGAGAAGCTGCTCAGCAAAGGGAGGATGTGAGCCAGGATCGCGGAGGTGGCAAACACTGTGACATGCCCCTCTGTCTAGTTTCTGAGAGCCGCCGCGTATCAAGGAACCTTCCTGCCTGTACTGAGGTACTCCAGTTGTAGCTGCCTGGTCTAGCCTGGAGCTCACTCTGAACAGGAAACGTTCCATGTAATAAAAACCTTCCTCTAAAGAGGGCCTTTTCTGTTTGTTTCATTTCGAAAGGAATTCTTATTTACATAGGTGTATAAACACATTACTTAACATTAAAACTGAATGAAAAGAAAAAAGTATTCTTTCACACGGCTTTACAAAGCAGTTGCTAGCAATTTACCAAGGCTGCATCAGTTTGGTCTCCTGACATAAGTTTGATTCGGATAGTAGGTTGAATTCAAATTCCAGTGTCCCTTGTTTGGACATCGCTGAGTTATCATGTCTGGTCAAACCATGCACCCTCTCTAGTCTCAAGGAGAAGCAGCTCTGCGAGCTCTGCCTACTGGCCAGTCTGCAGGAGCTTTATTTGGCATCAGAGACGCCCTCTAGTGGTAGAGTAGCTTGGCTGTCTTGGTGCAGCCTCTGCTTCTGAAGGCTGTTGGGCATTGACATTCTCAGAGGACTGGGAACCCTGAAGAGGGACACCCTGGAACTTCCGGCAGACACAGCCATCTGTGATCTTGGGGCTCTGAGTTTGGCTAAAACCCCACATTAAGGTTTTATTTCATGCACTGCCAGGAGGCTTACTGCTTGTCCTCTGTGTAAGTGCGGTCAAGGCCACTTGAGACCAGACAGCAGGGCTCTTGTCAGATTACTGCCGGAAGGAGTTCAAGTTAAAGGCGCATCCCCTGTGCGTCACACTGTAGGGGCTGGGAGGTTTTAAATCTGTAACGGAAAAATCCTGTCCCAACACCAAGTTTGCAAATGCGGATATTTCTATCTGCATCTGGAACAAAAAAAGGCCACCAGTAGAAGAGTGGAAAGAAACTTTTTGTGCACACAAGGAGTTCAGCAATGGGAAAATATGGAAAAATCAATCCGGTAACTAAAACAAGTACCACTGTATCAAATTCTTTCTTTCTTCCTAAACCCACATAACCTTGGAGCAAGGGGAACATTGATGATGGCAAATGTCTGAGGGCTGCATATAACGTAGCCATCACGACAAACAATCTTATTGACATTTTCATATTATGCTCAGAACTGAGTGCCTGGCAGCGTCTGAAAGGTTAAACATAAACTACTCTGGATTTCTCAGAGAAAAAGCCAATCAGGGAAAATGACATTCCTAGCACCAGTGTGGTAATGTTTTTGAGCTCAAAAAGGACAATTTCTGAGGAGCGAGGCGCCCCAACACTTTCAGAGTTTACATCTATCCGTAGGCAGGGTTGTTGGCATGTTGGGAAAGTTACCTACAACATCAGCTTAAAATTCACTTTCACAGAACCTCCCTTCAATTCTGGTCTGATTTGGGCAAAATTTAAGTGGAAAATGACCCCTTACAAGAGTGACTTTTCAGGCAGGACACTGAGTTTTTGTGCTACATTATTCTGCACTCCATGATATTCCTTCAATGATTTACTGTGAATGCACACAAGTTTTTGAATCATATTAGAAATTCAAGTTGGATAACAGGACAAAAATATGTATATATGATGGATAATCAAATAGAGGCCAAAAATAAATTAAAATACATGGCCTCTTTTATTTTTTAAAAATCCCTTTTAGTTTGAACTCATAAAACAAAACAAACTTTTGCTTTTTTTTTTTGTTACCAGGGATCAGACTCACTACCTTACACTTGCAGGGCAACCGCTTAGGTGGCTGAGCTAAACCCCTGGCCCAAATCAGTAGTTTAATTTTTTTTTCTTTTCTTTTTTTTTTTCCTTTGGTCTTTTTCGTTTTTATAGGTACCAGGGATCGAACTCACAAGTGCGTGCTTGCAAGGCAGGCGCTTCTGCCTCTGAACTAAATCCCCAGCCCCCCCCCTTTTTTTGGTACTGGGGATCAAACTTGTGACCTCATGCTTACCAAGCAGGCACTTGAACTGCTGAGCTAAATCCCTGGCCCCTTAAAAATCTGAACTCTTTTTAAAAATAATTAATTAATTAATTAATTTTTGGTACCAGGGATCAAACTCATGACCTTGTGCTTGCCAGGCAGGTGCTTATAGCTAAATAAATCCCTGGCCCAAAACAAAATTTTTAAAATGCCAATATTTGGAGGAGATGTTTACTGGAAAACATTGTTGACAAACAAATGCCTCTGATCCTTCCCCATAATCTAAAGAAGTGAAGGAAGAGGCTTCTGTGGGAACTCTTGACCAAAATGTTTCTATATTAAGGAGAATTCTCTGGCCTACCTCTTTAGTTAGTGTGGGTTTTTGGAGACAGCTGAGGCATTATTAAAGAATATAGATTAACCATCCAACTATATTTAAGGGCATCTAAGAAAGTCACTGGGAGCAGCCCCCAAACTTTTACTTCCCCAAAGTTTTCATTCTTATCCTCCTCCATGGGCCGGAAGGACAATCATTCAAAACACTTGAGCAAGAACATTTTCAAGAACAGATAGCAGTAAAACATAAGAAAATAGTAGAGAAAACTGGGTGATATCTTTATAGTTTTATAAGCAAAATGACAGATTTGTATACAGCCCTTCGTAAGTCAGTCCTGGTGTGCAATATTTAAGGATGTAGTATTCATATACGCTGTTAGGGATGCAATATTTACAGACAGTCATCTCTCTGTATCTGTGGGGGACTTGTTCCAGGACCACCACAAGTACCCAAACCCACAGCTGCAAAATAGCGTCCTATTTGCATATAAAATACACACATTCTCCCACACACTTCAAATTATCTCTAAATTACTTATTCCTAATAAAATATAACTGCTACGGAAACAGTTGCTATTCCATATTGTTTAGGAATTTATGACAAGGAGACAAAGTTTATGTAAGTTCAGCACACACACAACTTTTTCCTGAACATTCTCTATCCGCATTTGGGGGACTCTGTGAAGCAGAACCCACAATGAGAAGCGCCAACCGGATGTAGTTTGCTATTGTAAACTGGAAGGCTGAAGGAACACAGGTGTGAAAGTGGGTTAACCTGAATTTGAATCCAAGCTCTCTCATTTTAAGGTCTGAGATCTTGAGCAAGTAAGCCACTTCTCTGAGCTTAAGTGTCTCCATCCTCTAAAGGAGTCATCCTGAGGATTAGATAAAACGTATGAAGATATACGATGGTTACTTAGTGATATGTTTCGTTAGGCCCTCCTTGCAAATACGTTGATTCATCCAGATGAAAATATCTGAGCGTTAGGCTTTTAGTGTAGACAATAAAAATTCTCCAGTTACGCTGAGTGTTCTGATAAAGGAAATCCTATTCTTCAGCAATAAAGGGAAATTCCTAGGATTAATTTTCTTTCAGCATATTATTAGACATTTCTCTAGTTACAGAATTGGTGTTTTTGTCATATGAATTTAAAATTTATCTTCATTTAAAAACTCCAATTCTGCTATTCGCTGTGTTTTTTAGAGCCACAACTCTTATTCACTTTTCTTACCACTCAACCGTTGGTACATTTGCTGGAAAAAAAATAGGTAGGAAGTTCTTAGGTAGGAAGTTGCAGCAAAAGCTGAAAATGAACACAGATAGACCAAAAAAGATTCAACTTAAACAGGAAACCTGAGAAATGTGAAGCAAATTCCCTTTGGACATCAGCAGGCATATATAAAGAACGAGGTCAAATGAACATTTCTGAGCTGCAATCAAGACTGTTTTTTATTTAAAATCTGGGTTTCTATCAAAGATGTCCATTCTGACAGCAAGATGAAAACACTTTGTGAGAAATCCCATAGGTGACATTCAAATGCGGAAGATTCTCATCACCGAGGAGCCTGTACCCTTCCAGCCGCCCTGCATGCCTGTTTCCATTGTTCCCCTGTGTGCCTTCTGTTCCAAAGCTATTACCATTGAATAGTGAGTACCGAGAGAGGTTTTCAGAGTAGAATATTCTCTCCAGCATGACTCTAGGCAGCACAGAGCTCAGTGCAGTGCCAGAAATGGATACATTATACTCCACAAGATGTGTGATTAGTCAATAGAGAGAGAGAGAAAAGTCACACACACTGCCATCCTCCACAAAAAGGGAGAACATGCTATTGTAGAAATGATGATACCATGTGAAAAGGTTAATCATAGTCTGGCAATTACAGTGTTGGATGCAAACATACTTTTGCTGAGGCTGTGAGTTTCCTTGATTAGAAGCTCTGCTCCCTGCTGGGACCTTCTCCAGTACCAATACATCTTGGTCATGTTCTTTAAGTCTGACTGTATTCGCCTCAACGTCCTGCAAATACAAATTACACCACATACAGATGCTGTCATTTACTCAGACAATGAAAAAAATTTCAAATGCTTCAGAAACTCATTTGGTGCTTGTGATGCTAACTGTTGCGACTATGAATTAACTCGTTTGCAAAGTCAAGGGCTGGAATGGTCAGAGAGAGGACCAGATGAGGTTTGAAACATGCTTTTAAAACCCTGCTTTTGCTCCACACTCAGAAAAACTGAAGAGTAGAGAGTGGAGTGATTTTGCACCCAGAGGCCTTTGGGAGAGGTTGTGTAGCGGGGAGACAAGGCGTTTATTCTTCATAAAACACACGGTGAACTGCATGCAGCTTTGGCAAAGTTCGTTTTTCCTGAGTTTCCTAAGAAATGGCATTTTTGCTTCTGTTCAAAAGACTTTTTTAAAAAAACAATTCAAAATGTATTAAAAGCCTTCTTCCGTGATTTTGAATTATACATCATATCAATGACAAATGATCAAAATTGTTTGACTCACTATAAACTCCACATGTGTGAACTTCAAAAAGTTAGTGAAACTGGCTTCTAAACTTTAATATTATTTTCAATAATTAATTGAAAAGCTTAGTGTGTTTTTTTCTTCTTAAAAGAGATGAGAGGAGAGGCAAATCAAATCGCATATGGTATTTTTCCCTATATTATTTCATAGTTGTTTTAACTTTCTTTGTATCAAGGCGTTGCACTCTGAAGACACTTTGGCGTTGGAAATGTTGCCAGCAGAGACAGATGCTTCTGGCAGGGTAGGGAGAGTTGTACATACACAAGGAGTGGGGAAGACAGGACTTTTTGAGAGCCAGTGAGGCAGGGAAGAGAGCAGAGCCATCCTAGGTGAACTCAACGGAGGATGGGAAAGATCCCAGGCCATGTGAGAAGCCAGGGGGGTAGGGTTCTGTGACCATCCTCAGTGGTCTGTAACCAGGGGCCCTACCAATCAAAGCTGGGTCAACACTCCCAAGGGGTCAGAGATTGGTGGGGAAAGACCAGAAACCATTTCTAAAATTCCACTCCCATAAATACCTTAAATAAACTAAGAGGAAGCTTGTCTTCAAAACCAACTTTAAGTCCACTATTGCAGCTCCCTTTGTTGTCTCCACAATTTTTCACCTACTTTCCAATATCTTTAATTTGAAACCTTTTGAGATAAAATAATCGAAATGAAAATGCTTGGTTGGAGTAAGCACATTGGTAATAAGTCCCATGAACACACAGTCACTCGGTAAGCCATGAGAGGTATGAGAAGGGTTCAGTTTTGGAAAGAGATAGGAGACAGACACTAGAAAGATCTTGGATAGAAACAGACGTGGGCAAATGGGGCTGGCACTGTGTTGCAGAGTAGGGTGGGAAAGAACGTGAAAAGGATGCCAGAGACCCTGACATTTTGGCAAGGCAATTGCTACTCATTGCCAATTCTGATGAACCATGATAGTTGTGTGCAGAGCTGGCGACCCAGCATAGCATCCTATGCTTGTAGCTTTCCTGGAGCATCACCTATGGGCCCCAGCATGTTCAATGTGTCTATTTTAAAACAGGTTCTCTGTCCCAGAGCATGAATTCATTCCAGTACTACTCAAGTAATACTTCACCTGGAGCTCTGTGTTACTTGGAAAATGAAATATGTTTTCAGTCTCAGTGTGCTTTGGACTCACCCTCAGGATCCGGTTGAAATCTTCCTTGTCAACTCTTAAGAAATGACAATTATCTTCTCGCAAGACAATAGAGGCAGCACGAGGAGCATCATTCACTAGTGCTAACTTGCCGAAATCATCTCCCTCATGCAGGGTGCAGACCACACCCTGGGGAGAGAAGGACATTCGAGTGAAATGGTAAACAACCCTTTGCTTGTCACAAGACTACAAAAACACTGGATATATAAATGGGCTGTATCTAGGGATGCCCAAGTAGGATTGTGTAATTAAATTATAATGCTTAAATTTTCTTTCATTGAGTAATATGGTCTATGACCTAATTTAAATGCATACATTATAATCCATAAGGAGATGAGCCCAAGAAAGTTGTAATACTACTGTAAGTATAATAATTAAGAAAATTGGATTAAGGATATAATAATGCCTTTTCTACACGAAGTACCAATATTGTTGCAAGTTTAATTGTAGCACTACATTGTTAATATTTAAAGCCACACTAGTAAGTGGAATATAATAAAGTTTAAAAAAGAAGAAGATATATATATATATATATATATACCTTGCCATAAATGACTACATTCACCGATCCTTTTAGAATAATGTACCAGGAGGTACCTTCTTCTCCCTGGTTAAATACTAGACACAAAAAGATAAAAAAATTTACGACAAGAATATAAGCATATCAATACAAATCACAGCTTATCAAATCATCATTTTTAAGTCCTCAGAATTACACATACATAAAATACAAGAAATTACTGGCAAATGTTAAATTATTCAGGTGGAATATGATTTTTCTTTCCATAGCACATGGAAGGAAGGGAGACTGCATTACTTCTTGTGCCCTGGAAGATAGGTTTCCACCAGATACCAATTTACTAGCTACCCGTTTCCCCTGCAATTCATGAAAACATTGGGCCATAGAAAACAGTTTCTGAAAGTGATCTGACCAGTAATGTGAAGCTTGCAAACATGCAAGTCAGAATTACATTTGTTTATACATATACACCTACCTACTTTTCTTTAAAAATGAGTTGGAAAGATAACTACTACATTCAGGGTGGGAATTATCACTGGGAGGAAAAGAGAAGAATGGGATAAAGAAGGGAATAAGACACCTATAACTGGAACTGTGTGATTTCACTCGTTAAGAAAACATGATAAATGTGGTATAATGGGAGCTTTTGATAAAGGTTAAAATGGTATTTGCAATATTCACCATTTTTCACGTGAAACATTTAAATATTTCATTATAAAAAGAAAGATAATTTTTAAGGCATTAGAGACCATCAAAACTATCAAAGTGAACCATAAAATATAAAATAGTAACATTCTTTCTCAAATCTATACCCAAGTCAGAAATATCACTCTTAATGACTGAAAATAAAGCACGCTGAAATATAATTTTTAAAATACTTTTTACTTTTACAGTTCACAATGGCTGTTTACTTGACTATATTGCATCCTGAAGAAAGAGCAAAGTTTTCCCAAAATACAACATCTCTCGGCAATGGTGACCATTAAAAAAGTGCTCTGTGTGTCAGTAGGTTTGGAAAGTGCCATTGTAAATGTTCGATCATCTTTCTTTACTGCTGAAACCTCCAGCATGCTGATGCGTCTTACAATTCTGCAGGACAGATTGGAGCAGGTGGCATTGCCCGGCCTCCTCAGATCATTAACTCCTGTATGTAAGCAGGATTTTGTAGGACTAGCGGGAAATGTCAACTTATGTAATACTATTCATGTCTGTTAAGATCGGATTTTAATGTCTTACTTAACAGCTCAGCTCTAAAGCCCCAAATTTAAGTAAAGTCGCTGAGAACGTATTGCAGTCTGCAGGACGTCAGCCCATGCCCTTTAAATGCCTGTTACGAGCCACAAAGGTAGGAAGCAAGTGAGATTTGGCAACGGCCACCCACGGGGGTGCTGGAAAACCACCACACTTCAGGGCATGTGCCACACCCTGAAATAATCACAGTTCCATAAAAGCCCAAGTGCTGTGTGACATCCTGCCACGTGAGACCACGGTACCACCGGGGGCCATCTGCTACAGGTTTCCTGGCCTGTGCTGGAGCAACTTTGAGCTGGGCACCATGAGCCGCTACACTTTTTACTTACACACTGTCCCTCCTTTGGCATGTGACTCAAAGATGAGAACACCAGCTAGCTCCCGTTTCACCTAGGAGAGAAAGAAAGAGCGTGGAAAAGCCAGGCTTGGGAGGCTGAGGCGGAAGGGACTTCCTGTTCCTTTGCTTCCTCACAGCTGTCTTTCACCTCACTTCTTCCTAGGTTCTTCCAGAACCGCCTTCACTAGATTTACCATCAGGATCTCAAAACCTGTGCAAAGCTAATTTACACCACACCACCTGGTGAGAGACTGTATAAAACGTGGTTTCACATGCACTAACCAGCAACTCATCACCTATCTCGTGCCTTTGGTGAAAAGATGAGATGTCCACCTCATCTTTGGACCCTCCTGCAATTAATGGCTCTCCTCGGCAGCACAAAGCATGCCACTGCAAGCATGCTGGGAAACTGAGTGTCTTGAAGTTGAATAATTAAGCCAGCAAACTTATATTCCATGACAGCTAAAATTCCAAATTCCTCCTGGCTAACATATAGTGTTTCAAAGTTATGGTCTCAATGATAGGTCTAAAAACCAATAACCTGAGAATTTTCCATGGTGCCCAGGTACAGGGGTTTGAGGTAGAAGAAGAGACTTCCTGCGATTCTACAGGACTGGAGAAGTCAGAAGAGGGGCATGCTGGGCACCTGGAGCATGGGTAGGGGAAAGGGGCCCTTTCCATACCGAGGTTTATAGGGCCTCCACTGCCTGCCCCTTTATGTACATACGGAGACTACCCAGGCACTTAGACTTGCCCTACCATATAGAAGGTGAGGATGACAAGGCAGGGGTAGGTCAGCGAGGACAATCCTTTGGATAGTCGAGGTAAGTGATTGAGCGTCCAGATCCCTAGGAGTGCAGGGGTGTGAGAAACGGGAAGGAAGTCCTGTCTGGGTTGAGGGGTAAAGAGGGCTTGGGGCTCTTCTGCTTGAGGCCCTGGTAAATGGCACCCTGCTCTCAGAAGAGGGGGTGGTTCTATCCCTACTCAGAAGTTAGTATTTCTGCCTCAAAACCCTAATTAGGTTAAAGTTCTGAGTCAGACACAGCCACTGAGCCACACTTGACTACTAGGTAGTGAGCATCACTGTGGCCCCTTAAAAAGATGCTCTCTTGAAGTGTCTGCTTCCTTTTCCAAAGGGCAGCAAGCCTGGGTGGGTCTAGCTCTATGAGCCAGGACAGGACTTCTAGATTTCTTTCCTTCCTCCCTCTGCTGCCGTATGTCAAGGAAAGCATTCAGAATCCCTCTCAGGGCTTAGCTTTCTTGTGTGAGTGTGCAGGTTCCAAAATTCAGATTTGGAAGGACGAAACTCATGTTCTAATTTTACTCTCATCAGGCTGCTTTGGGGTCTAGGGCACATGTACTACTACTAGTAACTTGATTTCCTTTAGCGATTTCTTTATTCTTTTTTTTTTTTTTTTGGTACCCGGAATCAACCTCAGGACCTCACCCTTGCCAGGCAGATGCTGTGTCCAGGCCCTAGTGATTATTCTTGTGCATAACTTCCTTAGCATCCTATATGTAGGTAGATTCATGAGTCAAGAGTTCAGGTTCCCACCACCCTATCATCACATTCTCCCCCAGTCCTAACTGCACTGACCTTCGGGCTCCCCTGATCAGCTCCACTAAGCGAAGACTTACTGTGGTAGACAGATGCGATAAGGCTTTGATATGCAGGAGCTCTTCATAGATAATCTCGAGGTCATCTACAGTCCTCTGGCCAGGTCTACAAAGTAAAAAAAGAGAAAAAATGAAAAAAAGGACTCAACTAAGGCTTCAAATAAGGAAATAATTCCAGGGTCAGTAACACACCCAGGGACGTCGGTAAAAAGATACCGACAGCAGGAGAGATTGTGTCATTACAATCCTCAAAGGGACTTTTGAAATGAGTGTTTTCCTTGCTGGAAGGATATGGGAGGACTCTGCTGTCCACAAGATCCCCTCTCTTCCAATCTCAGAAGGAAGACCACCCCCAATCACAGTGTAGTTGGGCTAGCTTATTTGTCAACTTGTAGATGACTGACTTAACAAACTGCTTTTCATTTTCATCTTAAAAAATGACATAACTTATCTTTCTACACCATGAGGAGCAAATGGTTCAGTCAGCTTGACATTGGATGTAAATTTCTTGGGATCCCATTTGATACCTAAGCTTAACAAAACATTAATGCTACTGTCGCGATAGTTTTTTTTGAGAACTCAAATATAGAACATACACCTCTAAGGAGATAGGAAGGGTACGAGGTGAGAATGAGGTAAACAGTAGTGCCTGGGATTAGCAAGAGGGGAGAAATAGGATATAAATGTCTACGTTTCTCAAATGTGCTTCTTGGACCAGCACTGTCCACAATTAGTTTGTGTAAAATGGGGTATGGACATTTGTGGCATGGGAAGACTGAGTGAACGTCTATCACCTTTTGTGTCTTGTAATTATTTTGGAATCAGAAATAGCATTTAATTATATTAATGATGAGAGACACGGTTGGACAGTAGTTTGGACTTTTTGTTGTTCTCTGCAGTATCAGTTTTACTTCCTGACTAAAACACTTTGAAACTTAAAAATAAATGGGTTGTTAATCCTGAGCGTGCTAGGAAGTCAACTGACAATCCACACACTTATGGATAGGTGGCATTTCCTCTCCGCTAATTACTGTAGTCATGAACATTTCTTACTACATAATTATCAGTCTGTCTTATGCATTTTGTCTTAAAATCTGGCAATTAGTGGTATTATTCAGCATTACTCTGTGTTATACACTCAGTCCTTAATGAGCTTTTGATGGTATTCCATTATTGTGTTGTAATTTTAAAAGTATTTCTTGGTCTGTTAAGCTCAGGAAGAGTTGATATACTGAGCACAGCACTAGATTTAGAGTCTGAAGATCAAGTTCTAATCTCGGTGCTGTGCCACCACTTACTGATGCTGTGATGTCAGAACCTTGGCCTCGGCTGAAACCTGGGAGTGATGTCTCCCTGAGAGACAGGTTGTGAGAGTTTAAAGAAGTGGTGAATATGAAAGCTACATCATATTTATTTGTGGGAGAAAAAAATCCAGCACAGTGATATTCAAGACTCAAGCCCATATATAGTTAGCAGTTAATCTTAACTGTTAACTAGACTGAATTAAGAGTCTCCTGAAGAGATGACTGGGTTATAGGGGTGCTATGCTCATCAATGAATTCTGAATGTGCCACTAGGAGGTGGCATCCAGCCAGAGACAAGTCACAGAAGGTACACCTTTGGATGGTGTCTCTCTTGCAGTTATCTCCTTCTGTTCTGCTTTCCTGGCCACTATGAAATGAGCAGCTGTGCACCATTACACTCTTCTGGCCAGATGTTTTTTGCTTTGGAACCAGCTGACCATAAACTGAAACCACAAACCAAATAAGCCATTTTCTCATTTAACTTGTGGATATTCTGGAACAAAATATCCAGCAATGGGAAAGCTGACCAATACATTGGTATGCTAAACAAATATACCAATAAAGGATGACATTTGGTCAAGCACATCACACCTGGAACTCAGTCAATTATAAGAATTTTGAGTGGTCAGAACTGGACCGTGAATATTCTAAACTGGTTAGTTGGAGTGTGTAATTTTGCAAGTTTATTATTACATGGGGAAGCCAACAGAGCCAGCAGAGGCTAGGTAGAGGAAGAAAACTGTATATGTTGCACATTATCTTCACAAGGACAGCTTTAACTGAGAAAAAGAAATGACATCCCTCTGTTACAGAACCAGCAGAAGATCTATTTCCTAGTTCTGACTACACAAAGACAGATACTAAATCCGCAACCTGGGAGAGGTCAGCCAGGTTTACTTCCTGCTGAGGATCACCACCGAAGAATACAAATGCACACCAATGTGGTCCTTAATGGTGGAACCCAGAAGGTATGAGCCCCGGAAAGACACTAAAGAAAAGCTGTGGCCACAGGGGCTCTTAGCAAGAGGCCTAATCTACTACTTGACTTAGACATGGGGATTTTGAAACCAGGACCCTTGGGGATTTAAAAGTCAATGGAATCACCTCTGTCCAGCTACTACCATAGAGCAGCTAACATGAAAGTCTTAAGGTGGGCATAATAGGATTACAGCTCTTCAGCACAAGGAGCAGCCCTGCTGTTCTTGCTACTTGACATCAGCTGCAAAGAGCATGAAACACTCCTAGGTGTTTGGCTAAAAGAGAAAACAGTCACCAAGTTTCCTTCTTGCCTCCGTGGAATAGGCTAAGACGCAGGGAGAAAAACACCCCAGTCAGGAAAAAAAAAAAAAAAAGGCTTAGAATTCAGCTCCAAAACCTTAAAGAGAGTCACAGTTGAAATTCTGGGAGCAGATCTCTATATGAGGGATCTGTGTTAGGAGGAGAATTTACGTATCGATATGCGATCCACATTGCTCAACTCATGTTTTCTTAAAAAGCACTGTGTTTAGAATTTATAGATCTCAAGTTATGTTCATCCAAGTTTTAAAACATGAGGAAGACCTGTCAAATTCTCAATGCAATATACTAACAATGCACCCTTGTGTTGGAGCTGACCCTGAGCCACTCCAGGGAGGCGTTGGACCTTGGCTAAAGTGTGGAGAAGAGACAACTTTGGCAGCATTCACGCTATTTCGGGAACATACTCAATTTCCTACCAGCTGCCTCCCTGTCTGTGCACCGCCCCAGTTCTTCTTTCCCAGCCTATTGTCTTCTACGCTTCCTGCTTTCCTAAATATTTTCTCTCAGTATCTGTTCTTACATCCGCCTCTCAAACTGTACTGTATCCCCAAAGCTCTGTACTACCTTCACCTCAGAAAAATCTTCCACCCCCATCTGTATAGTGATAAAGGCTAAAATCTTCACCTCCAAATAGTGCTCTTTCCTGAGCTGCAGTGGCTCCCTAGCCATCTCTTCCCAGGGAGCTCACAAGTACCCCACACTCAGTATATCTAGAAAGGGTCCCTCGTCACCACACGGAGTTCTTTAAAGCCAACCTTGATTTGCTTTTCCAGACTACCTGTCTCCTCTCACTTCCCACATATCCTGATAGCTGTGATCTCTGCTCCAGCCATTCTGTGCACCTTTCTATTCCTCAAATGCATTATACCTTTTTCGTGCCTCCAAGACCTTCTGCATGCTCCTCTTGGGGCCTAAGATATTCTTTCTGTATCAAGCTCAGCTAGGATGTCACTGCCCCTAGGGAGAAGTGGACCAACCTTCATTCTGATATAATACATAGCCCCACTGCTGCGGCAGTTTGCAGCATACTCTGGTGAATGGTATTCTAACTATTCGTCACTCTATGCTGCTCTTCTCTAGAGAAGGAGGATCAAAGGGCAGCACTGCATTAGAAGCAGAAACTGAATTTGAGATCTAAACAGTGAATGTTCTAGTTGCTCAATTGGTTAAATGCCTTGTCTCTGCATCTGTAAAATGGTAATAATAAACAGGACTGTAATAAAGGTTGGACTGGTTATTGTACATGAAGCACTGTCTACACTGGAAATGCAGCACAAATGCAGGATGGCATTATTATTAGGGTGGGTGTTCATTAGACGTCGTGGCATGAATGAACACAGGAGTTTTTAATGTAATTCAGGCTGAACTCAGGGGAGATGTCAGCTATGGACCAGTTCTTGTTTTGTGGTTGGAGGGAATTGGGGCTTTCGTTCTGCTATCTTTCCCATGGAGGGCTAACTAAGACAAGGTGTGCACAGCACAACTCATCTTGATTTGTGTCAAGGTAAATAGTTACAGTAGCCCCACTGTCTGTTCCATGATTTCAGTTATCTACTTAAGTACAAAAGTATCAAATGGAAAATTGCGGGAATGAACAACTCCTAAGTTTTAAATAGTTTTGATTATGGTAAGTTACTATTAATTGTTTTATTGTATTATTATTAATCTCTTACTGCATCTAATTTATAACTAAGTTTTGTCATAGATATATATGTACAGGGGAAAATGCATATGCAGCGTTAGGCATAGCACCATCCATCTGTGGAGCATCTTGGAACATACCTCTGTGGATAAGGGGATGGTGTAATTACTAATGGAGGAAATAGGGTGAAAATGATGACTCTCTCCTCTTAATCCAAACCCCATAAAATTATTCCTTACGATAAGTTTATTCATTCAATTGTTACTACTTAGACCAACTGAAGTTATTAGTCTGTGGCAAGGTCAGTGGAGACTGGACAAAGGTGATCATCCAAGACCAATGTACAGTACCTATTGAGCTGGACTTCTCTGAGCCAACGTACAACACCTATTGAGATGGACTTCTTTGAGCCAAAGTTTTGTCTGTCATGAAAAAGATCTGATGGAAAACACTACCAGCAGATTGGAAAATCTTAGGAATTCTTAGATAACAGAAAGCAAGAATAGAAGTCTGAGAATTCAGGGTAGAAAAAAAAATCATCGCAGGATGAAACAGAGATGCTTACATGTGAATAGTAAGCATAGAAGGCGGATGTCAGGCAGGGTCACCAAGAGGCTCCTCTACTCAACTTGGGTCAACGGGGCCACCAGCTCCATCTCTCCCACACCTGCTATACAACAGGGCCACCAGCTCCATCTCTCCCACACCTGCTATACTGGGTAGTGGGCAGTGGTAGTTTGCTGTTGGGGGAACACTTGCGACCTGCTAAGGGTAAGCCCTGGAGCCCAAGACTGCATGGACACCCTGGCCCTTTGGGAAAGAGACAAGAAGGAAAGGACAGTGGCTCTCCTAGAAGGAAGG